GGGAAAGGAAGGGGGATGAAAGAGGGAAGGCAAGGGAGGTGGAGGTAAGGGGTAGGGAAGGGAGGTTAAGAAAGGGGACAAGCAAAAGAAATAAAGGGAACAGGCATGGGTTGACAAAGGATGAGGCATAACACTGAGGGTGTGGAGAGAAAACATGATAATTGGGAGACTTATGGAGAGAGTGGGAGTGAAAGACTTTGGGACAGGAGCGGTGTTAGGGAAGTGGGTACAAATGGGACCCCTAAATGGGTAGTGGGTTAGGGATGGATTTATGAGAGTAGGATGCTAATGCGTCGGAGTAGGGAAAAGGCAAGCAGGGAAAAAGGGGCAAGCGTCGGGGTACAGCACAGGGCAAGACATGGTGAAGAGAACAAGAGAAGACAGAGGTTAATTAACAAGGCATAAACATTACAGTGCATTTACATGAAACAAAATAGTCACAGATGCTAAGCACAAGACAACAATAACAATGACGGCGAAAGATTCAGGAACATTGGTGGCACAAGGAACACACACACGCACACGCGCACACACGCACACACACATCTAGGTAATACACTTGACTGGGAAAGAGGGGTGAGTGTAGCCTGGGTCATAAGAGATACATGGACACAAAGGGAAGACTAATATAAGCATAAGCACAATACACTTTACAATATAAATGCTGCTGAAATAAGGCAAAGCAACACCAAAGCTTAAATAAGTCAACTGTTTATGAAAACCAATTTTCTGTAAGATAAAACTTCATTCCATCTGGTAGGAACTTTACTGAAAGTGGAAACCCATTTTACAACACACAATGTCACCTTAATGGTTAAAAATCACTATATATATATATATATATATATATATATATATATATATATATATATATATATATATATATATATATTAATGCAACTAAGCATAAAGAACACTTGTTAAAGAGAAGAAAACCCGTACGAGGCAAAAACAAGGAAGATAAGTAGTGTATATTTCGACCTCCAGCTACGGACCTCCAGTCGGAAACCTTCAGTTAAGGTCCTCCAGCTGAGGAACTCCAGCTAAGGTTTCTGTTGAAAAGAGAAAGGGAAGGGCGGCGGGAGATTTCCTACCCTCGCAGGACCCAGCCTCTTGCCCATCTTTTCTGTTCATAACCTGTTTAATCAGGGTACTGTTGGCCGCCCGCTAGCACACTTAGCCATCACAGACTGGTTGATCTGGCACTTCGCAGAGGCAGTAATGCACGTTCCTTTTGAAAACCTCTACACTTGTTGAGGTAATGTTTGTGATATCTGTTGGTAACAGGTAAAATACCATGACGCACCTCCTTTTCTCTGGGTCTGTTTAACACATCCTCCCAAATCTCTATCCCACAACCTTATTGTAGATGGACTAAGCCCTCAAGACTCCTCCTTGTATATATATTATCTGGCACAGTATCTATCTTCGCGCCAGAGAGTACATTCCAAGAATTAAGAGGCATTCAAAGAAGTTTAAACTTTAATATCTCTCCTGCCCTGAAAGAAAACATCAACACCGAACAACATTCTACACGAGAAAGCAAAAGTGATTTATTGTTACCATTGACGTCATTTCTCGTTTTCTAAAATTCTTATCATCTGCTGCAATATCTCTCCTGCCTTGAACGGAACTCTCAACACAGAACAATATTCTAAACAAGTTCTCGTTTTTGAGAAATCGCATTATCCACCCTGTCATTTTCCTGTCCTTCGCCAGAGGATATATATGAGAGAGAGAGAGAGAGAGAGAGAGAGAGAGAGAGAGAGAGAGAGAGAGAGAGAGAGAGAGAGAGAGTGAAATACAGGAAAAAACCTTATGAAGAAAGACTCAAAAGCATTTAACCTTTTATCATTAGGAAGCGAACACTAGGACATCTCTTTCAAACACTGAATAGTTTCGACACACTCAAACATGAGAAACTATTAATAGTGCTGAATGAGTAACTCAAAACAACTGAATGAAACAGAAAACGCATCTTAAACTTATCTCAGATTATATTTCTGCAAACAGAAATATAGAAGAACCTTCCGCCAGTTGGCGGGAGGTTCACAGTTATTCATAGCATTTCGGACGTCTACAAGGTCTCGGGTACGTTAAGGTAGAGAGAAGAAGGGCTGTGGTAGAGAAAGATCTTACAGATCCCTCAGTAACACATACTAATCTCAGTTCTTATAAATTATTAAACCGTTCATAGCAAGAGAAGTCTCAAGCAGAGATAGCTAGGGAGTGAACCAGGTAATGACAGAGCCAAGAGCTGAGGTTCGACCTTTGTTATCACAAGAAGGCGAGGAAAAACAGGCGAGTAGACGCACACACGCACAGGTGCGCATGCACACAGCAGCAAGCGTGTGCGTCACCATCACCAAGGTAACATCCTGGCCAAATTTAGCCGTGCATTGAACAATCTGAGCGCGAGAGTGAAAGGAACGGAGGGGATAACCTGAAGAGAAGGGAAGAACTGAAGGAGGTGAAGAAAGGGGGAGAATAAAGGGAAAGAAAAGAGTAATCAGAGCCAATTTTGCTAACAAATTTTGACCTGTTTAACCTATCTGATTAAAAAGTATAACTATACATACATATATATAAATACACACACACACACACACACGTGTGTGTGTGTGTGTGTGTGTGTGTGTGTGTGTCCCCTCCCTCCCTCCCTCCCTCCCTCTCTCTCTCTCTCTCTCTCTCTCTCTCTCCTCTCTCTCTCTCTCTCTCTCTCTCTCTCCTCTCTCTCTCTCTCTCTCTCTCCTCTCTCTCTCTCTCCTCTTCTCTCTCTCCTCGTGCCGAATAGGTAAAACTTGAGATTTTGGCTTAAATAGCAACGCTCTTGTTGCCGAATAGGACAAGCGAAAATTTTTGTATGCAATAATTTCGCAAAAATCATTCCGAACCTAACGAAAAAAAATATATTTCATTGTGTTTGTTTATTAAATCACTGTAAACTTATCTATATTTACTTGGATTAGGCTAAATTAAATTTTGCTTGTTATAATAAGGTTAGGTAAGTTTTCTAAGGCTCTTTTGCTACAAAATTATTAATTTTTACATTAACATAAACGAAAAAAGTATATATCTTTAAACGTACAAGAGAAAATTTTAGAATGCATTTAATTTTAAACGAGTTCTTGCTGAGTGACCAATTTTACCTATTCAGAACGATATATATATATTATATATATATATATATATATATATATATATATATATATATATATATATATATATATACATATATACATATATATAATATACATATATACATATATACATATATACATATATACATATATACATATATACATATATACATATATACAAACATAAATACATACATACATACATACATGAGAACAATGAACATGTGATTCCAAATATATAAAAATACCACAGTGAAAACAAGAAAACACCTGAGAACTTTCATGTGCTCACACATCTTCAGAAGATGTAATCAAAAAGAGGAGAGTCGGTGAAAATACTCAAGAGTACATATGTACTGTGTTCACTGTTACGAGACATGATGAAATACAACAGGTACCAAGAGTTAGATCTCAACGCTGATTTATTGAAGTTCAGCGAGGCCAGAGGTTTACGCTCTACTTATTTCCACGGGGGACTATATATATACCACAACCACACGAGGATAAAATACACACACACACACACACACACACACACACACACACACACACACACACACACACACGTACGTAAGTTGCATATCTATGACTGATGTCTGAACTTGTCCTCCTCCCGCAGGCGGGTCTATGGCCAGACTTCCCTGTCGACCATCTGATCAATCAAGTTATTGCTACCAGACATTCATGAGGTGACAGAGTGTCGGCGGCGAGCATGACGGGTGCAGAATGGACTGGCTTGGAGGTTATCAGGTCCGTGTGAATACTGAAGCCACCTGCTGCACTGCTGAATCATCCACGCCTCACCTGATTGATGGTCCTCATGTTTGTGTTATGTGGAGGACCACGGAGGGAAGGAGGGAGGGAAGGAGGGAGGGAAGAAATTAGTATAGTAAGGGAGAAAGTTAGTAAGGAAAAAAGTCGAGAGAAACGAAGAGGTGTAGGTGTGTAGTGGGGGGAAGGTGTAGTTGCAGAAGTGTGAACTTTGCTCACACCTCTACAACACAATTGTCCTCAAAGATTTGTTAAGTTATACCATAAATTAAGGAAAGATCCTGGACTTCACCTTACGAAAGCAGACGTGATAGTGATAGTAATTATGGACAAATGTGATAGTAATTATGGACAAGATTATAGTTGAAAAATGAACATGTTATTAGAAGACTGTGCCCCTGAAGACATCAACACATAACACGAGAAACTTCTGAACTTAAGTGATCGTTTATTCTGGGATATTTTTCTCTAAGATAAGTAGAGAGAGCCTCTTCCAACTGACTTTATACTCTTAAAAACTGGTGTGTCTTATTTAATGGAAGGTTACAATTAGTTTTGGGCTGTGTAGATACCAATTTGCCATTTTTCCATCAAAGACATTGGTATATCAGTTTCCATGTGATAACTAGTGAATGCCTCTTCTAACTAGCTTCAAATCTTCAATGCTAATATTTTAACTACATAAAAATTTGTGCCACACTGAGGTGAAGGGCCGGGCTTGTGGGAGTTGACTATACCTTTCTCTGTTCTCCAAGCAACCTTAACACGTCGAGTTATTATTTAATTCACCGAGAAACGCTAATTCCATAAGGGTTATACATCACCTGGGGAATGGTATGCAATCAAGTTTGATCCGAAGATGAGATCAAACCCGACTGCAGAATAAGAGGTGTGGAGGACTCGCGAAATTTTAACGACATGATTGTCAATAACTCGCCTATGGAGGGTTTAGATCCAAGGCCAGCCAGAGCTTAAGCTAGCTGGGCAGCGAGTTATTCACTGTGAGCAGCGGATACAGGACTGATCTAGTTTAAGGATTCGCTGGCCATGGGTTTGAACCCTCAGTTGGGTCAGAGGTGGGGACATTACCTTGGCAACGAAGACAGCGATGACGGAGGTGGCCAGCTCGGGAGCCGACGACCCAGCAGCCATGAAGGTAGCTCCAGCCACATCCTCACTCAGGTGCAGTCCTGGCCAGGGGAAGAGATCAACACTTACTACACCACTTGTACTGCTACCACTATCACCACCATCACACTTATAATACTGCTACCACCATCATTCTTATAATATTGGCACCACCATAACACTTATAATATTGCTACCACCATCATTCTTATAACATTGCTAACACCATCACACTTATAATATTGCTACACCATCACACTTATAATACTGCTACCACCATCACACTTATAATATTGCTACCACCATCACACTTATAATATTGCTACCACCATCACACTTATAATATTGCTACCACCATCACACTTATAATATTGCTACCACCATCACACTTATAATATTGCTACCACCATCACACTTATAATATTGCTACCACCATCACACTTATAATATTGCTACCACCATCACACTTATAATACTGCTACCACCATCACACTTATAATATTGCTACCACCACCACACTTATAATATTGCTACCACCACCACACTTATAATATTGCTACCACCACCACACTTATAATATTGCTACCACCATCATTCTTATAACATTGCTAACACCATCACACTTATAATATTGCTACACCACCACACTTATAATACTGCTACCACCACCACACTTATAATATTGCTACCACCATCATTCTTATAACATTGCTAACACCATCACACTTATAATATTGCTACACCACCACACTTATAATACTGCTACCACCACCACACTTATAATATTGCTACCACCATCATTCTTATAACATTGCTAACACCACCACACTTATAATATTGCTACCACCATCATTCTTATAACATTGCTACCACCATCACACTTATAATACTGCTACCACCATCAAACTTATAAAACTGCTACCACAATTACACTTATACTGTTACCAACACTGCCACCAGCACACTTATGCTGCTACAGCCACTACCACCATGTGCATACTGCTACCACTACTACCACCATGTGTATACTGCTACCACTACTACCACCATGTGTATACTGCTACCACTACCACCATGTGTATACTGCTACCACTACTACCACCATGTGTATACTGCTACCACTACTACCACCATGTGTATACTGCTACCACTACTACCACCATGTGTATACTGCTACCACTACTACCACCATGTGTATACTGCTACCACTACTACCACTATGTGTACACTGCTATCACTACTACCACCATGTGTACACTGCTATCACTACTACCACCATGTGCATACTGCTACCACTACCACTATGTGTATACTGCTACCACTACTACCACCATGTGTATACTGCTACCACTACCACCACCATGTGTATACTGCTACCACTACTACCACCATGTGTATACTGCTACCACTACTACCACTATGTGTATACTGCTATCACTACTACCACCATGTGTATACTGCTACCACTACCACCACCATGTGTATACTGCTACCACTACTACCACCATGTGTATACTGCTACCACTACTACCACCATGTGTATACTGCTACCACTAATACCACCATGTGTATACTGCTACCACTACTACCACCATGTGTATACTGCTACCACTACTACCACCATGTGTGTACTGCTACCACTACTACCACCATGTGTATACTGCTACCACTACCACCTTTTGTATACTGCTACCCCCCTACCCCCAATGTGTAAAACTGCTACCACTACCCACCATGGGATATTGCTACCACACAAACCCCCAATTTTTGGTTACTGCAAACCATACTACCACCATGTGTTTTCTGCCAACCACTACTACCCAGTGTTTCCGCACCATACTCCCACCATGTGTATACTGCAACCACCCCACACTGTGTATACTGCTCCATTTACTCCCAAAACCATGTTTGTAAAAGGGTTACCACTACTCCCCCCCCCATGTGTATACTGTTTACCACTACCCATGTGAAATACTGTACCACTACAAACCCCATTGAAATTCGGGTACCACTACTACCCCATGTGTATATGCTACCACCCATCATTTTGAAACTGTCCAAACCCCTTACCCCCCCCCCACCCCCTGTGAATTGCAACCATTTATTTTCCACCGTTTTAACTGCTATCCACTACTACCCCCATGTGTATACGGCAAACCCACTCCCCTTTACCACCCATGTGTATACTGCTACCACTACACCACCATGTGTATACTGCTTACCCCCACCATGGTGTAATGCTCCCAACCCCACCACCATTGTAACTGCTACCACCCAACCACCATTTGTATCCTGCTACCACTACTCCCACCATGTTTTAAAATGCTCCACCTACCCCCATGTGTATACGGGTTTCCACTATTTAACCTCCCTTTGTGTAACTGCTACCCCCCAATTTTATACTGAAACCACATTTCCAAACTTTGTGTTTTCTGCTACCACAAACCCAAACCATTTTTAAATTTTGCTACCACTATTCCCCCAAATGTGATTGCTCCCAAAACCCATACCACCTTTTGTGTATACTGCTCCCATACTACCCCCATTGATACTGCTCCCAAAAAAATAAAAACCATGTGTATACTGCTACCACTACTACCCCATGTTATACTCTCCCACTACTCCCAAACCAAATGTGTATAGTTTACCACAACCACCACCATGGGTATACTGACCCGACCCACCATTTTTTTTCCTGTACCACACAACCACCATGTTTATACTGCTACCACTACAAACCACCAGGGGAACTGCTACCACTACCCCCCAGGGTGTAAACTGCTCCCAAACTACAACCACCATGTGTATACTGCCCACAAAACCTACCCCCAAGGTTAAATTATGAAACCATCAAACCCCAAACCCACCACCAAATCCAACCCAACTCTCCATCCCAAATTGCCACCCACCCCTTTATCCCCGCGGGCCACACCCCACCTTGCCCCCCTCCCCAAGGGGGAAACCTTCCACCCCCACCCTGGAAAACCTTTTCATCACCCCCAAAGGGGGCCCCCTTTTCCACCACCACCAGCGGGCACCCCCTTACCAAAAAGGGTGGCACTTCCCTACACCACCGGGGGGAAAAACCCCTACACCCCCAAACCAGCTGGCACACCCCCCCTTGGAAACCCTCCCCAAGGTTTTGGCACCCCTCCACCACCAGGGAACCACCCCCTTAACCCCCCAAGTGGCCCCCAACACCACCACCAGTGGCACCCCCTTGACCCAAAGGGGGCCCCCCCTTCCCACCACCACCAGTGAAACCCCTTGCACCCCCCCAGGTGGCACCCCTACAACCCCCAAAGGGGAACCCCTTGCACCCCCCAAGGGGGAACCCCCACACCCCCAAATTAACGGGCACCCCCGTACCCCTTTTTTTAACCAAACCAAACCACCAGGTTGGAAACCCCCTTTTCCCTCCCCAAGGTGGCACCCCTCCCACCACCAACGGGCACCCCCTTCCCACCAGGGGGAACCCCTACACCCCCAGTGGCAACCCAACTCTAACCCCCATGGGTTTTTGGCACCACCACACCACCAGGCTGGCCCACCCCCCTTAAAACCCCCACAATACCCCCCTTTTTAACCGCAAACACCACGGGGCAAACCCCCCACTACCCCACCAGGGGGTATCCCCCCACCACCCCCAAATTGGCCCCACACTTTCCCCACCAAAGGTACCACCCCAACACCACCAATCCCAAAAACTTCCCCAAACCCCCAAGGGGGCCCCCCCCCCTAACCACCCACTGGCACACACCCTTGCACCCACAAGGGGGCCCCCCTTCCACCACCCCCAGCGGGCACCCCCTTTGGGGCACCAACAAGGGGGGCCCCTTTCCAACCACCCCACGGCACAAACCTTACCACAAAAACCCCCCCAAAAAAGGTGCCCCCCTACACCCCCACCAGCGGGGCCACACACCTTGCATTCAAAAAGGGGTGGCCCCCTTTACCCCAACCAGCTGAAACACCCCTTTGCACCCCACAAGGGGGCCCACCCTACCCCCCACCAGCTGGCACACACCTTGCACCCAACGGGGTGGCACCCCTACCCCCACCAGCGGGCACACACCTTGCACCTCAAAAAGGTTTGGCACCCTACCCACCCCCCCCCCCCCCCCCCCCCCCCCCCCCCCCCCCCCCCCCCCAAACCACCCCAAAAAAACCCTTGCCAGGCCCGGTGCCCCTCCTTTTTTTAAGGGGCCCATTGTCCATTGTGACCCCCACCCCCCCCCTTTTTTTTCCCCTTTTAAAAACCAATTACCCCCCCGCCCCCCCGTTTTGGCCCCCCCCCCCAAAAAATAACCCCTGGGCCCCCCCGTCCCCTTCCCCCTTTCCCTTTCCCCCCCCCACCAACAGCCTTGCTTCCCAATCAACCCCCCCCCCAAACCTTTTTGGCCCCTCCTTTAAACCCACTGGCCCCCCAACCCCCCCACCACGGCAACCCCACCTTCCCCCCAAACCAAGGGTCCCCACCCCCTCCCCCCCCACCCCCTACACCCCACCTTGAGTCAAAGGTTGGGGGTCAAACCCCCGTGGAAAATTGACCAAAAAATCCCCCCCAAACCCCCAATTTGGAAAAATTGTAAAAAAGGGGGAATTTAAAATAAGGGGCAAAAATTCAAACAAGTGGAATTTAATACCATGGAAAAAATTTTTTAAAACCCAAATCCAAAGGCCCAAAAAAACCCCCGGGCCTGGGCCACATTTCAAAAACCCCCAAATTTTATTCTTCCCCTCCCTTTTTTAAAAGTTTTTCCCTTTGTAAAATCTTAAAACCTTTTTTTTCCTTCTCAAAAACCCAGGTTTTTTCCCCCCTTTAACCCCCTGTGTTTTTAAAATGTTTTATTATTTTTAATTAAATTTATTTATAATTTTATTTTTTTTTTTAAATGGGAAATTTAATATAAAATATTTAAAGGGGTTAATTTTTAAAATTAAATAATTTTTGGAAATTTTTTTTTAAATTTAAAGAAAAATTTTTTTAAAGAAAAATGAATAAATTTTTAATTTTTTAAAATTTTTTTTTTATATATAAAAAATTGAAAATAAAAAAAAT